AGGAATGTTTACGTTAACGATGAAAACACATGACCGTCCAAAAAATAGGTCGACCGCACATCAGGTATTTCAACTATCATCAAGTGAACTTCGTGCTTGTCTGTCATCATAAAAATTAAAACATGCTTACCGAAAACCTTTGAAATGTTTTATAAATGTTAATTAGTTAATTTCACAATAATCCCACTTAAGCCTAAATGCATGCGTAATCTCGAAATTTACATAATCGTGGAAATAATCGTTTTGAAGCAAACATTAATTTCGTAAAAAGCAATTACAATGAGATTATCGATGGCTCCGCTAATAAATTTTGTTGCATCAAGACGAGGTACAATCTTTATTTATAAAAACATATTACACAAAACAAAAAATGTTGCCTTTGTAAATTTTTACTTAGCATTATTTCCTCCATCTTTCTCGCAATAGCAATTAGAAAATACATATATTGGTTACTTTGCCGACGTTTCCCCCATGACCACGATTGTTTAAAAGCAACAAAAGTTTTGTCGTGCGTTAAATAAATTAGGTAACATATTCCGCGTTTTGAACCGTTTAAAGTGTCTTATATAATGTGTACAATAGCTTATTTATAAACGTAGACTATAGTCATAAAAGTCTTGTTTGCTATGGTTTAATAAGAGGTGTAAGTACTTTATAAGTACCTACTTTGAGCCTAAGAATTATCAATAACCATACTATGTGTACTGTCTATAGTTTACGCGAGTAGTACACATTTAAATAAAACACTTTAAAGATTTAAAACGAGATATATTAGTTAATGATCACGGGGAGACTCCCCGTTTTAAAGTGTTTTATTTAAATACATACTATGTGTGTTAAATTTTTTGCATAACAAACTACTATTTGTGACTTAAAACAGAACCAAAAACAGGTTGTTAAAAAAAGAAATTTATATTAATACTTGGATAGCTTTACTTAGCGTATACACATCATTGTATGTAGAAGTTAGAAAATCCGATCTAGGTTAACATCTAACACAGTTGCCCGTTATAAAAAACTGCAAATAAAATGTATAAACGCATTTATAACAGTTAGACAATTATCCCATTACACGCGGCCAGAAATTGTTTAATTGTTACACTTTATGTATTTTTATCGTCTATGGCTTAGTGGCCTTTTTGCTGAGATAGCGTTTTGAGGGACAGGGTTTTATTCCCGGGAAAGTATTATAGGTTAAAGTATAGTGTAGAGTTAATTACAGTAGGTGTTTTACGCGTGTAGTACATTTTATTTTAACTACGGCGCGACGTTTCGGGCGCTTTGTAGCAGCTGTAGTGATGGAGGGAGTGAAGATGGTGGGTGTCCCTAATGGCAAAGCCAAACAATATCGCATATAGATATAACTAATACCGTTAAAAGTGTCTTATTTAAACAAGTATTTTAAGTTATTTGTTTCACACAGTTGTTTTAGAAAAGGTCAAACTAAATATGTTGATTATTAAATATATATATTAAACAACATACAACACTAACTTGCTTTCAAACGAATACGTAATAAATATATTATAACCCAACAACAAAAAGATTGGGACCTGTTGCAGATAAATTTAGATATGACATCAGTGAAATTTAATAACAGCGTGTCTTATAAACATCCAGTAAGATCAAGTTAGTAAGATGGCGACCATTTTAATTGTTTGTTAAGTTAACCCTGACAAAGTCTTGAACTTAACTTACGAATAATGAGGATTGACATAAATTCTCTGATAGGCTGTTGCCATACACATCGAAGTTGCGTACAACGTAACGTTCTGCGTAAGTTCTGTTATATTATTTTTGTCACTTATTCGATGTTTAAAAACGTAATCTATACTAATATATAAAGCTGACGAGTTTGTTTCAGCGCGCTAATATCAGGAACTACTAGATCGAATTAAAAAGAAAACCTTTTTGTGTTGGATAGAGTATTTAACGAGGAAGGCTTTAGGCTACAAAACATTAAGCTGTGACTAAAAAGAACGGAGAAACAGCGGGTAGTGTGGTAAAAACGGGAAATTTTAAAGAAGACCACAGCCTTAATGATTGCTGGCTGATGATACCGGTAGGTGGACCGATTAGCGTAGATGAGATCACAATGCAAGGACGCGCGTATCGACTATTTTATGTCGTATCTATATATTTATTTATAAAAGGTCGTGCAGATTTTCTTAATGAATGCCAATCTTAGATGGGCTTAAATTATTTCTATATTGTTAAATTTGTCATTGTCAACATTCAAATAATAAATTACAAATAACTAATAAATAATAATCGGATTTTTTACGAGCCTAAAGCGAGAAATATGACAGTCAAAATATGTTAATAAAAATTGTTTCAGTAAATACAGTTCACACGACTTTTAAACATTTATAAAACACACTTTTAACTGTCTAAAGCACGAAATGTATTAGTTACTTACATTTCGAGAGTTAAACCGTTAAAAATGTTTTTTAACGTACCTCAAGAAGAAGAACGCCTTCCCTTCCATTCTGCTAAGTTATTATTAGTATTTCGTCTAAAATTACATCTTATAGATTGTACAGAAGTTTCGAACGATGCAAAACCACATAAAGGAAACAATAACAATGGTAATTAAATTTTAGTTAGAAATTTCAATGATAATGGCACGACCGCAACCGAAATGGGCAAAAGTGAAGGTGACTTTCATTTCCATAAATGGATCACGTATAAAGAAGTATAGTTTATCGGTGATTATAACACGAGTTCGTGATTTTACGTTTATGAATTTGCAATTGCGTTACTTTTCAATAAAGTAGTACCTACAATCAATGGTGGGCTTAAACGAAACAAAAACATCGGCTTCAAATTATGCTTTGGTTAAAATTTTATTCACTATAATAGTGAATTCAAAACCTTTTAGTTATAAAAGTAGTAGTATTAATTTACTATTTATGTAATTTTTAATCAATAAATTACGCGAGTAGTCCACATTTAAATAAAACACTTTAACGGTTTATAACGCGATATAGCAGTTAAACTTATTTATAAAATTGTTTTTTAACTTCGGCCCGACGTTTTTGATGCATCGCAGCAGCACGTCTCCCCGTGACCACGGCTGCCGTTAAAGTGTTTTATTTAAATAACTAATCAATCAGTAAAATTTTAGATGGGAGGAATCGATTCCATCCGGGTCACAAACCACCGTCGACAGATGAAAGAAGAGTCAAGTTTAATCGCGTCGGTTTGACTCTGTGGAATTATGAATATCTAAATCCAAAAAATCTATCCTCTATCATAAAAAAATATTTTCCTACTACATCAAATATTACTTTATTATATAAACTAGATAAATTATAACTAAGTCTAAAAAATTGTGATAGTTATAAATAACGTAGTAGGTACAAACTTAACTTACGCGCTGTCTATACTAATATATAAAGCTGAAGAGTTTGTTTGTTTGAACGCGCTAATCTCAGGAACTACGGCTTCGAATTGAAAAACTCTGAAGAGTTCTGAGTATGAAAGAATTCCTCTTTAAATGATTTAAAAAAAATGTCCGCAACACTATATGTCTATCTTTTAAGATTAACTTGTAAGAACGACGGGACCCGAACGACGGGTTCCAAGCGACGGGATGCGAACGATGTCGCGGGCAGTTTAAATTTATAAAGAGGTAGAGATTAGCAAAAACAAATTTGGATTTCGAAAATAACAAATTTACGCGGATAGTCACTGACACAGCTAGTAAAGAATAAATAACTATTACATGACAAATCAGAACTGATTCTGAGATGTAATTATACTAGTATATATAAAAGATATAAATTCAAAGTGGATAATCTTAATCTTTGCAGCGGTTTTTTGCCGACGTTCGATTTAACTATAGATTCATGGACATATCGCGTTTTAAGACTACCTATAGTTTGAAAAGTCTTGTATTTTTTAATTAGGAAACTTTACTGACTTTTTTGTCTCTTTAACTTAAGCACTATAATTTTCCAATACATCATGATGTACAAAAGACTATTATAACCGATATTCGTTGCTACAGTCACGCCTAATAAAATTTGATCTATCACATAGATTATATCACGTATGTAAAATAAAACTTTACATAACACTTATGCTTCTTCGTTACGATTGAGCGGGTCCGTCATATTTCCGCTTTTCTTGTATATGTTATGAAAGACAAAATTAAACGTGTTGTCTAGCATTGCATTAATTCGAGTCTAAATCCTGAGGGTCGAGTCTAATGCTATAGGTATTTAAAGAAGAACACTGTAACACTTGACACAATGACAACGGGACTTAACTTTTTTTATAAAAGCTAGGTGTGTGCTTTCCTAGCTTAATACAAGTAAGTTAATAGTTTTTTTTGGTCGTTACTAAGATCAGAAGACATAATATGGGCCTCAAATTTCTATAAAAATAGTTAAAATTAAATAAAACACTTTTGTTTAATTACCTTTTGGAAATGATTTTAACTTGACCCGACGTTTCGGATGCTTTGCAGCAGCTGTGTTCCCCGGGGAAAAAAAAAAAAAATTGCATTCTAACGTTTAATTACATAGCTTTTAAACCGTTAGTGTTTTTTTTAAATGTGTACTACTCACATAACACATACTACTATTGAAATTAGTCTTTCTTCTTAATCTATAAGAAAACTTTTACAAAGTTTATTATTTATTAATGACTTGAAACTTATCTTACTTTTTACGATAACAAATAGATAATTATTAAAGTTTACTGAAATCGTACCTTTTTAATTCTTAATGAAAATTACAGATCATATATAATAAAAGAAAGTTGTTTTACCAATTGTTTTTATCTATTTTTTTATGTCACTATTCTGGTATCATTGGTGAAAAGTTAAAGTATTTAATAGTTGCCATTATTTTTTAGTTATTATTTTTATACGTTTATTTTTGCTTATAACACTAACGTCACCTTATAGTAGAGATATAGATTTAGTTTATTAGATTTATAGGGAGGTTAATAAATAACGTTACATAAATAAACCGAGTAACCAAATAACTAACCTGGTAAAGATATCTCAGAATTTCACAAAGCTATATGCACACGCGTACATCACACAGATACACGTTGCGAAGACGAATGCGCAATGACAGACCGTTCGGCGCTGGAGTTTCCCACCACTAATGTTTGCTGCCCATATTATGCATATACAATACCTCTGTCTAAGCGGTCGCTAATAAGTAAGGCGTTATATGGTGATATTTAAAACATGTCTATATGTGTATGATACTAATTTTTGCCCTCAACTTCGACCGTGTGGAAAACCGAGTTTTGCAGAATGTAAATTTAGTATAAAAATAAATTTGATCATTCAGTTATACATATTAACTTCTGTCTGTATGCACAGAACTTCTAAATCAAATGGATTAATATTCAAACGCGGAGGATGTTCTATAAAAATTAAAACTGTTTGACTCATTATGAGTAAAATTTTTCACTGGATTTAAATAAAACACAACGGTTTAAAACGCAAAATATATTAACCTTTTATTTTAAGTACGGTCCGAATTTTTGGAAGTTTTGGTCCTGGTCACCAGGGAATATGGCGTATTAAACTGCTGACAATGTTTTAATTAAACATAGTACTCGCGTAAACGCTTAAAGTATTGTCTATACATAAAACCTGTATTTTAAACTAAACTGATTTTTTTATTCCTAATTCTTTCTTACTTAAAATAGATTTTATAAAAGCATGTCTCCAAATGTATTTGTTTTTATATTATTAAATATAAATTAAAGCCCACTGAAGGCATTACATTTTAAAAATACGATCACGATTAAATTTACAATTGCTGGACACTGTTCAGCGTATCAGGATAGCAGATAAATTCCTTGTAATGGATCAACCGTTGGAATACGAAACGATTTGCTTTAAAATATCGTTCAACTGTTTGTTATGTTCAGCATGATCACGCATACTTTTAGAATGTTACGGGACAAAGAATTCTTTACAATACACACCGTTGTTTTATATATACAAATAGTGTTTAAAACGCGAAAAACGGTTTAAAACGCGATATATTAGTTAAACTTATTTGAAAATGATTTTTAACTTCGGCCCGACGTTTCGGATGCTTTGCAGTCTCCCCGTGACCACGGCTACTGCAAAGCATCCGATCGGGTCGAAGTTAAAAACCATTTTCAAATATGTTTAACTAATATATCGCGTTTTTAACCGTTAAAGTGTTTTATTTAAAAGTGCTTATCTGTCAACCTCTATCAAAAAATCGCACAGCGATTCTCGGCGTTTTAGACACGTTTACTCGCCGACAAGAGAAATTTCAAATCTATAAACTCGCAAAATTTTAAACGCATACTCCAGAAGCGGGGGCGCCAGGGTCCACTGAAAATCAGTGTTGCAACACAAGGGTGTCCGTAACATTATGCTGAGTGGCTCCTGTTTACCGAGTTGCCATAGACATTTTTTTTGTTAAGCCTTCTATATTTTGTATTAAGTCAATATTTATAGCTTTTATTTCTGTAAGCAACTTTTGAAATAAATGATTATTATTATTGTTAAATTTTATTTAATCTCTTAATTTTTTATGAAATACTCAAATTTAGATATCTTGCTGAATTGATATCTTTTAGCGCGCACACGAATAAAATGTATTGAAAATTCAAAGCGTTCTTCGTTACTACGTCATGGTCAGTAAACTCTTAAAAACCATAAGCACTTTTGGTTACGTTGAAGAATGCGTCGTGAACATCCACGATAACGTAGTTACTTCGCAAAGCGTGCTTGTTTACTTGCTTCTGTCGTTGAATCATAATGAACGTCAACACTTTTTTGAGTTTGAAATCCACGTCACGACTCGACTCTGGCGCCGTTTACAATACGAAAGATAGCTATATATTCATACCTGCAGATTACGCAAGCGGTATAAATAATAATAACCACGAAAACAGAAGCGAACTATATTAGGATTTAAAAAGTGTTTACTTTTTAGATATTGTGATCTCACAAGTTAAAATATATTTTGTTCAATTTTATTGAACAGTAGAGAAAAAAACATACGAATGAGTCTTATATACTAAAATGAAGTGCAATGAGCGGTCTTATCGCTAACAAGCGATTCCTTCCAGGCAACCCAGGATGAAACACTTAATAACTTTTATGGAAAACGAGACATGCAAGGTGCCTCTTTAAAGCTTTCGTTTTTAGTTTATATTTTACTTTAACACAATTTTTTGCGCACGTCCACAGTTAATTTGTTATTATTATTATCAATATGCCATTATGCCATGCACGAAAAAGTGTAATCCAAACAGGAATACACTTTTTTCGTATACGTACAAAACTTGGCGAAATTTTCACTAATCTGTTATGAGACCAAATGATTATTGCTTTGAACTTTTCCTACGTTTTTTTATTAAAGGCACAATCTGGCCTTTAAACGTTTATTATATAAAATAATTAATAACATAAAATGGTACAACATTTTAATAACAAATGCCATTTTGTACAAGCGAGAATAGACAAGCTGCCAAAGAGGCCTGGTGACATAGACCACCACAGATCTTACTAAGCGTTTTTGTTGTAAATAAAGCAGCAACCCTTAACTTATTTGTCCAAATAAATAAAGGCAACGTGTACGTAATAAGAAGTACGTAATAAACATTACTATGAGCTCATATGTATTCTATATAGCTTTAACTAAATATATTGCACAAAAGACGACAAGAAGCACGGAAGTGTTGTCTCTTTGTTCTGAACTAATTACTGTAAAGGCGTGGGATGTGGTAACTAGTAACTACACACGAATTAAGAACATCTTGAAACGTGGTAAAAGGGCTTTTGTGTTCAACAAACCTAGTAATATTCAGAAATAACATATCTGAGTCCAACTAATATAACAAATAACAAGCCTTATTAAAATTTACTTAGATTGAAAAATTACCGACATTCTTCGTGCTGCTGCACTAACCGATTGAGCTAACGTTTCCTTCCGTGGTTAGAACAGAAGCACGGAATGCTGTGGATGCCAGTTCAAGACCCACCCGTGTCGTATTTTTTTTTCAATCTAAATAGATTTTCAATATATATAGTGTCATCATGTGTAAAATACTTTTTACTACTTAGTTTACACACGAACTGATAACTATAATTTACGATAAAAGATAGGTTTTGATGATCTAAATTACTGAGAAGACGTAGAAACCAATCGCAACTAAACGAAAAATTTACCGATCCGTAACTTAGCTAAACCAATTCATACATACTTCTTTAACTTTTATTTAATAAACGGCCTATAAATAAAACACTTTAATGGTTTACAACGCGATATATATTAGTTAAACTTATTTGAAAATTATTTTAACTACGCCCCGACGTTTCGGATGCTTTGCAGCAGCCGTAGTCACGGGAAGGCCTATTTAAATGTGTACTTCTCGCGTAAACTGCAGACAATATTTGCCTAAACAGTGTCATAACTTTTCGACGTAGTCCGTATTGCCTTATGAATTTTAATTGTAAAGTAAACTCACCGTCACGGGTTCGACTCTAGCGGGCACAGCTCTTGCAATGTTAGGAGAAGCAGACCGTTCTCTTTCTCTCATCTCTCCCGCGAGAGCTGAGCGTGCTGCTCTTGCTGCTGTCTCAAGACAACCACTCGATTTGCTCCTACAAAGAACAATATTTTTAAATTGTAAAATTCTCAACGTGAATAGGCAATCAATAACTATATTTTTGTTTTTTTTTGTTTTTTTATTTGAAAAAAAAAAAGTTACAAAAATATAAGCCCTCATGGGTTTACTAAGATACCATGAGGTTACCTAATCTTACTTTACACATTCTATGGTGTGGTAAATTTATTTGACCACAATATACCAATTGATGATGACATTAAATTAGCTCGTCAGAAAAAAAAAACATGAACTTTAGTTACCTTACAGGCCTGTCGGTTGGAAGCATTGACATAGGCTGGTCAAGGGCGGCTGGTGCGGGGGGAAGGTACATAACATGTCCTCCCCATGACAGATATGAAGATGGACCTCGCCATGGGTTCAAATCAGCCTAAAAATAAGCAGTTAAGTTAATCTTTGAGGGCTCCCATTGCGTGCGATGCGAAAACGCTTCAAGAAACCAAAAACTCACTAAAAAAGCCAAAGAACCATTTTTATAATAATAAAATAAGGTCGAAATTAATGCATTATTATCAATTATTTGTTCAAGTTCTCTAGATAATAATTTAGAATACAACAAAACAACGTTTGCCGGATCAGCTAATATATTATAATATAAACATTAAACATACTTTGTTCATCACATCAGATTCCTCCTGAATCTCTTCGTTCTTCACTCTTAAGGGTTGCAATAGAGTTGGATTACTCAGCGAGTTTGGCGCGGATTTAGTCAAAAACCAATTCTGTTCAGGTTCATTTAACATGGGTTCGTGCTCCAAGTCGAATTTCCTAGAACCGAGAGCGGCTCCAAACGCTCCGGAGACCGATTTCTTGAACTTCTGAAGACTGTTGAAGCCCTGCTGTATCGGTTTACCCTGGAAACATTCGTAAAAACACGACATGCCTTTAAACTATGTGGGGTTGGTTGTTCTTTTACGTGTTGACGAGGAATAATGATAAATTCTATGAAATTTGCCAAGAACACAGATTAGAAATAAATATTTTACACAAAAAAGAGTTATAGCAGAAAATCTGTACTAATATTATAAAGCTGAAGAGTTTGTTTATTTTAAGGCGCTATTCTCAGGAACTACTGGTTCGAATTGAAATTCGAGCTATAAAACATCAGTCTGCGGCGGTACCAATAGATGCGAAGAAACAGAGGAAAATGTAAACAAAATGGGAAACATTATTTATCTTTGAAGGTTGCCGTTGCGTTGGTTTGAAAACCCGGTCCTAGGTATCCAACAAATATGTATAACGTTATTCTTCTTAAAATAATTTAAATGAGAGTTCATGACCAAATGTATATTTATCTTTTAAGATAGCTGGCAATACCGACGTGTGCGACGTATGAGCTGAGGAGGTTGTTTGCAAAAATGAACTGGTGCCCCAAAATACAAGTTTAGGGGGCCCAGCTAGTACGGCAGGTAGACAGCAATGTTTAAGAAAAATTTAATCCATTGCAATATACAAGGCGTGTAGCTTAAATAAAGTGAGTAGGTTGAGATAAGCTATAGAGATTATAAGTGCATCTATCGTTATTCCTCCTAAGGTACACGGGAAGTTAGGTTTTTAGTAATGTTAGTTTCTCTATACCTTTTAAATCGATCTATTGTATTTTAAATGCTTAAACCCTAACGTCCCGTGCACTTTAAGCTACGAGTCTCACTTTATCACTGTCCCGGGGTAGGGACAGACTGAAGGGCTGACCCGGGGTAAAAGTGGCAACGGACGCCTGGTGTAATGCGCCACTGGCTCCTTCAGAACTGCTATCACCCAGGTCCTGTTGTGGAGTCCACGCGGTGGGATCTTGTGGGACCTGTAAGTATATCTCCATTAATTCTGACGCTTTTTCACATTTTGTACTTACGTCGAAGAAATACTATATTTTTTATCAATCTAACAAAAAAGAAAAATAGTGGTAACGTAAAACGCAATGGACAACATTTAAGTTTATAACCTCTTGTGGAAAATACCAAAAAAACAAACGGCGCTGGCTAAGCCATTTTTGTTTAGCCATACAATAAGGCTGCAGAAAAACATCCAAAACGTCGTGTCGTACTTGAAATATGTCGATTTCTACTTATTAAATCATTAATTTTTTTTAAGTAATTTGTTTATTAAATGTCTCACATGATGTCTGGATGGCGATTCAATCCGATGGTCACTGATCGCGTGATCTCCTGATATTCCTGAATCTCCCGATTTATCAGCGGACTGTTCTGATCGGGGTGAGGATTCACCAGATATATTGGCGGACATTTTAATTTCGACTGCAAGTGGTCTACTTTCTGAAATTAAAAAAAAAAGTTAGATTAAAGATAATATAAAATATTCCTCACTATAAAGAAAAATGAAGAACCAAACTATAACATTTTTATAAGTCGCGGGAAAGCCAGTGGCAGTGATTCCAGTCGTGAGCACGAGTTTCGATTATCATCGATTATAATGAAAGCATGTTAGTAAATCTAGCAGTAGTTGATGATAATAATTAATTGATTTCTAATTAAAAACTACACCTTTACTTAATCAGAACCAATAATATATGGACATAGATGAATAAATGATAATTTATTTAGACATTATGAGTTACCAGCAAGTTGGGTATCCAAGCTGGCTAATTGCCTCCACGCCGCAGCAGGGGAGAATCGGGGCGTATTAGGTAGCTTTTTGGGTAAAGTAGGTCGTAGTCGCAATGCAATACCCAGTGAGCCTTCCGAACCTTCACCTTCAGATCCTTCTGATGACAGTGCGGATTCTGATGATACTAAAAAGAACAATACAAAATATAAAGAAACACTGATATGAAAATATACTTATTTAAAGTATAACCAATATTCATCGTGACTGTTAACTTTGAACAATGATACCTTATTACTTAGATAATTTATAATAGTGGCTTCTGTATTTACATTTTTTTTTTGATCGAAGGAATAAAAAGACAAAAAACTTACAATTTCTTTTACAAGTTTCCTTTAATCTTTCGTTGAACTTATCCAGTTCATCTTCTTCGTGAAATCCAAGAAGCTTTTTTTCAATGAGATGAAAATTACTTAATTCCTCGATGATGGGACTCCCGAGTCCGGGAAAATCCTTTAAGTGGTCTTGAGTATTTGTTTGTTTATTTTCTATCATGCCGAAATAAAACTGCTTTGATGGTGCTTTTTGTCTAAAATTAAGAAACCAATTCAACTAAATTGTACAGACTAGTATTAAGTAAATAGTAGCAAGTAAGTAAGAAGATATGTATTGTTATATAACTATATACGAATTGGTGATGAAATGCCGAAATGCAATAGATAAAATTTATACTAAAAATTATAAAACTAACTTGTCTTGTTGTATCTTCGTAAGAGGCTCTTTTCTCCTAGTTGGTGAGTGTTCAGGAGTTGATTCCTTTCCTGATGCTTGCCCTCTATCCGGCAACTTCATATTTTCCTTCACATCACTCTTAAATTTCTTAACATCTGGTTTTTCCTGATTCGTCGTTTTATTTTTAACATCGTTAATCCGACTCAACGGACGTCTTATATTATTCAATGGTTTTGAATCTTTCGCGCTAAGACTAGACTCTCTGACTTGTGTTTTCGTTGGGATTTTCGTTTTACTTTGACTAGTTTTGTTACTTACATTAGATTTATTAACTAACTCGGTTCTTATTCTACTCGTGGCCTTTTTGAGTTCAGCCTGAAATTCATCTTTTTCGTCATTACTTTTATTTAGTAATGATGGAAGAGATTTTCTCAAAGGCGTTTTATTATCGAAATTTGATTTTATTAATTCTCCTGTAGTCTTAATTCTACTGTCGCGAGTAGGTTTTGGAGATTCATTTTCACTTATGTTTAAGGTGTTATCGAAAGTTTTTTCTCTTCTTAGTGGCGGTATTTCGAGATCTTTGCTGAATCTTTCAGAGTGTCTGAAGTTCCTGTTAAGAAGTGGTGTTTTCCAAGCATCGTTGTTTTCGGTTGTTTTTGCGGTTTTAGCTCTACAGCCACTCATTCGGTCAGTTTTGTTTCTATAGTCTTGTTTTCCTTGCAGCAACTTTTCTTCTCTCTTTAAAGAAGTTGTGCTTTGAAGCATACTTACATTATCTGGATATTTTAAGTGACCTTTGTCTTTGCACGGTGATCTATACCGTCTTTCAAACGATGTGTCGTTAAAATCAAGGGATTTGAAATCAGTATATGTACTCCTGTAAGCGGGCTTCGTTTCTAATTTTAATGGGTTAAGTTTTTTCGTCTCATTTCTTGTTCGGAAAAGCCTTAATTTCTTTTGCGGTTCCGGTTTCGCATTTCTGTCACAGGAGTCTGGTGATGAGCAGTCACGGTGCTGCAATGTTCACACAGTCTTAAATTATTTACTGTATAATATGATCTATTCTAAAGAAATTAATACCAAGGAATGGAAAGGTAGCTATACTGCTACACTGACAAAGAACAAGATGGTACAACGGAGGTGTGGGAATCTTAGGAAAGAATTGTAACCTTGCTGAGAGATATAGGGGCATAAGCGGAACTGAATAATCTGACTGCTATATATAAACTTTAATAAAAATTGTATTAAGATTTAAAACCGTCTAAAAACAGTTCTACAAATTATCAAATATAGTATATAACCGTATCAAATATAAAGAAAATATATAAGATATAAAGATAAAGACATACACGGTTCGCAGGTGGCTGGGGAGCTCTATACTTCTTCCTGAAGTGTTTATTATTGCACCTTGGTTTTTGATCTTCCTCAACTCTCAGATCCGGTTCGGACCCAAAGTGCTTGTTTAAGCTACTTGCTGTAAAAGTAATAATAATTTATGTTAAAAATTTATTAAGTTTTCAGGGTTCTGTAAGGTTTCAGAACAACTACTTGATTCCGATTGAAAATTAAAAAAAATAGCTTTGTAAATTGCAAAATCCGGGGTCCGTTAAGAAAAAATCGGTATTCCAGCTATAGTTTGTAAATTGTAAGTGATAATAAGCTTATGTGCTCTTCCTCTTCGTTCTATAGAAACGACGTGTAATTTGTCAGCTTACGCCATTCGTCAACACTTTAACGGTTTAAAAAAGGTAACAAGTCTTTTTCGTTTATTCTAACTATGAATCGACGTTTCGGAGCCTTTGCTGGCGTAGTAGACTTGACAATTGATACAAACATTCGAAATGTCGGGTGTAGTTGAAATAAAAAATAATAAAATAAGTTTAACAAATAATATAAACACTTGGTGACTTATTTAAAAGTCTTTCTATTTCTATTGTCGATCTATTTGGGCCAAAAATTAATCTTGGTCAACAGGACTAATGAATACTTACAGTCATTATGTCTCATATCGAGATTGGTGTGTGACCGATGTAGTGGGTCTCGATCGAGTCTGTATTCAAACTCCGCCCCACCAGCTGACCGCGATCGGTAGACGTTTGAATGCTGGAAAACATTTATAGAATCTAGAGTACAAGTTGAAAAGCACGAGGTTAGGCATATAAAAATGAAGAATAGTTTGATACTAGCTGAGTTGCAAATGTTTTTTTGTCGAGCTCGACTTCAACCAAATGTTGATTGCCATACAGACGATTCCTGTGAGTTAATATCTAACGATAGAAATACGCTGTTGCGCACATTTCACATTTTATAAACATTAATTCCAATACGAATAATGTCTTTGAATATTTTTTCCCGTTTTTCCCACATTTCTCTCTGTTTTTTCGCTTCTATTGGTCGCAGCCTAATGTCTTATAGCCTTCTTCAATGAATAGTGCGACAAAAATAAAAATATTTTTTCAAATCGAACCAGTACTTTCTGAGATTAGCTCTTTCAAACAAAGAAACAAACAAACTAAATTGTGTTAAGGCTTTGTGAAATGCTTTGTAAAATGTGAGCGAGAAGAGGTTCTCGACGTTTCGCCATCACGTGTGGACGATAAACAAACAAACTCTTCAGTTTTATATATTAGTATAGATAGATTTGATAAAATACAACGAGTAGGTTGATATGTGCGCTGTTAGTCCTAAGTTCTATTTATTTTTTATCCTCTCAAACAATTTTTTTAAACCACTTTCCTCAACTCAATAAATAAACCTCGCTCTAGAGGTTACATTACATTTGTGTACATGACAATGCTTTAGAAAGCTAAATCTTGAAAGCTCTTATTAGTGCAAAGATGTTTGTTCGTTACTCGAAGCTCATTAGACGAATCCTTGAGACCATTTCATTATTAGAGCTTTGTAGATCAAAGGAAACCGACTTAAGATGCTTTGCATCACAATTTAACAACAATGACGTTAAAATGTTTGTGTTCTGCGTCCTTAGGACGAGGTTTTCCTGACTTCGGTGCAAGTATGATTTAATCAAATGTTTAATAGAAAGGCTAAATATACTGAGCTAATTTTCATGAACGAGTTGTTATTGGGTTTAAAAATAGGGAATGGTATTGTAGATTTGAAATGTATGAAATATGGTAAAAATGTCTCTTGTCGTAAATAGACGTCGTTTAGTGATGGTTATATAACCTAGAGTTTAAACACCTAAAGTAATAATTTTCGTAAAGATAAGTGCTATTAAATTTATTATTTTTAAGCGTTTACTTTCAATGTTTTCGCTTACTAAAACGGTGACGAAGTTCGAATGAAACAATATAGGGGAAGAATTTTACACAATTTCATAAAATATTTTGCTTATAAAATTTTTATTTCACTGCGTAATCGTCCACTTAGTTAATAAATTTGTTACTTTTTATAAATAGATGAACACTTACTACATGTCCATGAGGGGTTCTATTCACCTCAGGAAACATGGAGGCGGGTCGTCGACAGCTAATCGTACCCCCCGAATGCAGGATTGCGCCATTATCTGTGGTGCGTAGACGCGGAGACTCCGTGAGGGATGGCAACACCTGAGGATTTCATATTAAAAATTTTACCATCCACATAATTTATTTAGTTGTTTTTTTTTTGTTTTATCTCTGACCTACCTTTATCTGTAGTTTTAATTTTTACTCAACACGTTTTTTTATCTTTTAAAACATCTGGTGCGTGCAGGTAAAGCCCTAAAGGCTTTTTTGCAAACTGAAGTGCTCTGCAAACTTTTTGGCCGGGCTGAAGTTAGCGCAGATGGTTGCGCAAAACGCAAATAGCAGGTATCAATTACGACAAAGGGGATGCGCGGGTGCGGGGGCACTCGACTTTTTGCTTAAAATTGACAGTTCCATGCGCAAGATGGCGGACGCACTAACTTCAGCCGGGCCAAAAAGTTTGGAGTGAACTGTACCTTCGGTGCATGTCGCAGTGGTTCGTGCGAGAGCGTATGGACGCGGCGCGTGGGTACTTCCGCAACCGCTGGGTGGCTGCCAGCTTGCCCCATGCTACTCCGACCTCCTCATCTGTTAATAAAGATATAATATTAATATTTTGTTTTTTTTTTATATACCTACATATAGTAAAGGTTTTGTAAGGTATTAAGGCCGAAACTGATATATAAACGAACCGATTTAATGAACAATAGCTTATCATATTTTTGAAAGCAAATGTTTCTACACAAAATAAACATATTTTAAACGTGAATTTTCCACATGCGCGTAACCAAGAAATGTTTTTGTCAAAAGCTAAAATCATTATTTTTAGCTAATCATCGTTATGTGAGACAAACCCTTTTAGCGTGGGATGACTCCTAAATGAAACTACTTTTAACGGTTCTAAAAGCATAATATGTATATTAATGTCCTACACTAGTCAATTGGTTATAGCAACAGCACGGAACGCTGTGGATACCGCCTATCAAGTCCCGCGTGGCGTAATTTTTTTTTCAACATAAATACAACATAAATAGATTTTTAATTTAAAATATATTACTTAACTTATTTACAATTTATTTTAATGTCGAGTTATTGCTCGTTCGAACTTATTTTTATTTTTTAGCACTTGAACCCGGGACCACTCGTGTAAGTATTTAGCTGAGCCGCTCAACGCTATTACGTAAGTTGAAGATTAGGCATGTAGACAATTGCACCTGCTCACCCGTAAATCACTGATCGTGCGTAGTGCTTCGCGTGACCTGCTGAGCCGCCCGCGCCGGTCGCGGTGTCAAGCTGTGTCAAGGTCACCACGAGAGAGTTTGTAAACATACGATAAACCGGTTCGATTTGTATAAAACGATACGATAATACTAAAGGCTATAAACGGTATTAACAGCTATGTATGACTAAACAACGGGTCGTGAGTTTGTTCCCCGACGGGCCCAATATGCTCCAAATCAATTTATTGTTTTTCTGAAACATGTTGGACTTCTGGAAAATTACACACCGGGTTTTAAAAAACACAATATTCCATGTATTTACTTGCATTTTACATCATTATTTCTTAGAAATGTTGTGCATACTTATATTACGTTGTTTTTGGTTTAAGATTTCATTATATATTTAGTTGGTAAGCTTATTAAAAAAAAAACTGAAATATGAATGGAAGGAACGAAATTCCAGTTAACGAGCCACCGTTCACAGATGGAAAAACCGTGAAGTAGAAATCCACGTTTGTAAATTTTGACTGTTCAAAACCATTAAGTAAAAGCCATGCTTGCTGTTCTTCCTGTTATAAATAAGTAAAAGTTTAGGCAGAATATTGTACTGAAGTATTGTCTGTAGGACACATTTCAATAAAACACGTCTTAACGGTTTTAAATGCGAAGTATATTCGTTAAACTATTTACAATTGATTTTGACTACGGCCCGACCTTTTGGATGCCTGGCTGTAGCAAAATTTGGCGTTTTAAACCGTTAAAATGCTTACTATTCGCGTAATCTACTATATACTTACAAATAGCATTTCAGTTGCGGCATTCACCAGGTCATGGTATTACGAGCTAGATGCAGTGTCCACTCCAACAATCGTTGCTACCAATCAGACGACATTTATTTGATTTATTACCGCGGGGCACAATAAATAAGGATAAATAGCCAACTGCCGCTTAATTTATAGTAAAGAACCGTTACCGCAACCTCTCGGGTCTGATTGTTATTTTATTGAACCGGGATTTAATATCATAAGAAAACTATTAAAAATTTATATAAACCTTAATAAATTACTAGTGGTCGAAAACCCTGTTAATGTGTTATATCAAGGCATAATATGTGCATAGATAGTAAAACTTCCATTCTATTAAACGCAGTGTGTGTGTGAAATTTCATTCATACCGTCGGGGCAATGTTCATATAAGGGGATAAATGTTTTACTTAGATTTTGTCTATAGTTTACGCGAGTAATACATATTTAAATAAAATACGTTTAACGGTTTAAAACGCGTAATATTTTAGTGAGCTTATGAATTTAATTACGGCCCGACGTATAGATTGGTTTGCAACAACCGTCTCACGGAAGACTGAAGTTAAATTATATTAATTAATTTAAAATTGATTTACTGTCTATAGTTTACGCGAGTAGTACACATTTAAATAATAATATATTTAAATGTGTACTAATAAATTAATAATAACAAATGGCAATATTAGTGAGCTTATGAATTTAACTACGGCCCGACGTATAGATTGGTTTGCAACAACCATCTCACTGAAGACTGAAGTTACATTATATTAATTAAATAAATTACTTAAAATTGATTCACTTTCTATAGTTTACGAGAGTAATACACATTTAAATAAAACACTTCAACGGTTTAAAACGCGATATATAAGTGAAATTTATTTAAAAATGATTTTTAACTTCGGCCCGACGTTTCGGATGCTTTGCAGCAGCTGTGGTCATAAGTTTAACTAATATATCGCGTTTTAAACCGTTAAAGTGTTTTATTTAAATTAAAAGTGATTTATTTAAAATCTTTTATAGATTAATATTATGTATGCAACCTTTCACCATACGATAAATACATATACAAAAGATTGATCGTCTTCGAAACATTTGTTATTAACATAAAGAAAGCGTCAATTTCACGACCGAGAAACTATGCACACCCGCCTCTGAAATACTTATGCGCTTTTGCTTTCAAAACACGAGAATCTGCCAATAACACATATGTATATGTACGTGCATTGTAATTACGCAAAGATGTACATTGGGTGCGCTGTCGTGGCCAAAAAAATTACTTTGTAAAAATACTGTCTATAGTTTACGCGAGTAGTACACATTTAAATAAAACACTTTAACGGTTTAAAACGCGATATATTAGTTAAACTTATTTGAAAAAGGGGCCTGATTTTAAACTTCGGCCCGGCGTTTCGGGTTCCTTCCGGGGGCCGGGCTTGGGTCTCCCCGTGACCACGGCTGCTGCAAAGCATCCGAAACGTCGGGCCGAAGTTAAAAATCATTTTCAAATAAGTTTAACTAATATATCGCGTTTTAAACCGTTAAAGTGTTTTATTTAAATACTTTGTAAAATTTATTTATTGTCGTATAATCTATACTTACTAATACATAAAGCTGAAGAATTGGTTTAAACGCGCCAATCTCAGGAACTACGGGTTCGAATTGAAAAAAATATATTTGTGTTCGTTAGAGCATTTATTGAGGAAGTCTATAAAACATCGCCCTGTGACTAATACAAGCGAAGATACAGCGAGAAATGAGAAAAATGGGAAAATTATTCATCATTATAGGTTTTCGAGGCGTACTTACGCTCCAAAAACGGTTCAAGATACCCAAAAAATATGTATGAAAGAATAATCACTCTTTAAATTATCTAAAAAAAAAGTCCGCGTGAGTATATGTCTAACTTTTAAGATTAATTAAAGAACGACGGGGCGTGGACGACGTCATGGGTTTGCAAAAACAAAAATTGATATCCAAAACAATTATTCTACGCGTACGAAGTCGCGTGACTCAGCTAGTTTAAAAATAAAACGTTATTCTACTCCGCAACATGGCGACCGAAGAAGTAACTTATCAAATTTTTAATTTAAATTTCGAACTGGCTTGCACATAGAAACCTATTTAGTAAAAAAAAATACTTTGGCGCGTTAAAAACTCTATTAGTTGTTCGTCAACTTCGTCATTGGTTTTAAAGTTCTTAATTGTACTACTTAGTTTTACGTCTTATCTTGCCGGCCGCTGCAGTTATATATATATATATATAGTACTATTGTTATTTAGCTATCTCGTTTGAACGAACCGCGACTAGAACAGGACACAAATGACATCTTTCCACAACAACTTAACGGGAGGTCTCTTAACACACATAAAGACTATTTACATAATTATCATATCGTGGGCTGCGCGCTGGCAACACCGCCTGTGTCTGGACTGCATTTAACATGTTTCACACCCCGATTTGTTTATGCTGCTCGGTGGGTGTGATCTGTGATGTAGGCAGCAAGGTTATTCATTAAAATACATTATTTGAATAAATAACTAGCTGCCGCCAGTTAAGTGCTCAGAAACCTGATAATTATTTATTAGTAATAACATATTAACGGATAATCCTAAATAACGTAGGTACTAATCACTATAAAATTAACTTTAATTTCTATTGAAGCTGGAAAGTGAATTGGAGAATTCAAAATTGTTACCGAAAATTTTTGATGTTCTATAGAGCTATAGGATCATTTGAATTAAAATTAAAAAAATATATATATATAGATATCGTTGGTGATGGAGGGTTATTTTCGCGTCTTTGCGAGCGATTTCTACATCTATCTTATATATCTAAAGCAGGTATATTTTCAATATAAGCTGATGCTGCATTACGATGTAAAAAGTAGAAATATTCACATGGGTATTTTAAGTTCGTTGATTATAATGATTACTATTTTAAAACATTTGTTAAAAATTTGACGGGTCTTCCTTTAGATGTAACGGTAGCAGTATGGCTAATAATAAACAAGTCATGGGTTTGATCCCCACTGGGCCCAACATGTTTTTAATATAATTTTTTTTCTGATACATGTTGGACTTCTACTAAATATTAAATGAATGGTAGGAATATCGGTATTCCGTCAGGGTCACGAAACACCGTCCACTGATGAAAAAGCTGCCAAGTTTAATCGCGTTTTGGTTTCAGTATGTGAATATCCGAATATCCAAAGCCAAAGAGGTCCACAACACATCTAGTTTAGATTTTATATAGCTGGGGTATCCCACCAACTAAATAAACCCCAAGCTCGTCTGTCCCCCACCATCATAAAAAAAGATGTACTTGCAGGATTTTTTGTGACGTTTTTGTTTTTATAATTGTACTGTGATAAACAAAGAACAAGAGGGCGTCAATACCGATTATATTAAAAGAAATGATATACATCGATGGCTTTTGTTGTCCGCTAGAATCTAGCGCAGTAAAGAGGTCGTATATTGATTATAATCAGTTGCTATTAAATCGCAATGGAGCGGTGACGGAGATCGCGGCACGGAAGCGTTGAGCGA